CAATAGGTATAGGTATATAGGTATCTCCAATGCATTATTCTGAAAAATCGCCAAGATTCTGTAATCCCACTTGAACTAAATATTTAAAGTATTGTAACGGAAATGGCCTGGGGTACTCACGATTGGAATGGGGGGATCGAAATTCATGGTATTTCAGTAAATGGAAGCCCCATTTGCGCCCCATTTCGCACCTGGTCTGGAGATTTTGAGAACTTTCTGGGTTACCTGGAGAAAACTATATAAGCGGCGACGAGAACCAGAGGGGAGTCTTCACATCGAGGACCATGGGCTAACTTTAAGTTAGTTATAGGAAGCAAGAGAGGCTGTTAGGTTTAGGTTTAGATTAGGTAGTTAGGTTAATTTAGATTAAGTCATATGATGATATATCTTAAGATACACAGAGTGTTAGACACTCTAATGATGTTAGCACTAAGGATCCGTAGGATAAGTAGCAGTAAGAAGTTTGTAAACTTAGCTGAAATAAATATGTTCCAACACAGAGGGGAGTCAGTAAAGTGACAGCAGCGACCGAGTCCAGAAGAGGTTAAACCACGCGAGTCGGAACACAAAGTCGGAAGACCGAGTTTTCCGTTTGTTATTGTTATTGTTTGTGAAGTTGACGTTAATTTAGAAGTTAGTTTGTTCCTGTTCCGTATTTAAAGTGATACCGAGTTGAATAAAAGTTGGAAGCTGAAGAAAAAGTTTGATACTCGGCCATCCACGGTACAGTATTTTTGGCAAACCGGTATCATCTTTGATATTGCGAATGAGACACTTCGCATGTGATAGCTATTTTTGATTTGTAGTTTTTGTCTCAATAAATTTATTTTCATCATTTCCTAGACCCATTTATAACGGTTATAGAGCGGAAACGTATTTGACATGTTTTGGGTACAAACCAGTTCTAATTTAATGTTCATTCCTGAAGACCCAGCATTCAGAAAATTGGACAAATTGGTGGAAGCATATCCAGGTGCTATTAATTGTTTTTGTAAGAATAATGCATGGCTCAATTTTGACCCACAATTAGGCAACAAAATTATTTTCTAGGCATACAAATCTTCTCTTGTTGATCGAAAAGCATTTTATTGAATCTTCTGCATGTTGTTGCTGCAATGAAGAAAAAACTTTTTGCCAAACTTAACTTGAATAGCAATTCTATTTTATTATTTTCGAGTTAATTGTAAAAACGACTGAACTGAACGTTTTGTTTATCGCCACACTGACTTTCATATCATAATTTCAAGTTATTGATATGTTTTCTCATTACGTTTCACGGCTATTTACAATAAATATGATAAATTCCTATTTTTACAGGCACTCGGTTTATCTACGTTAGCATGTAAGTATAGAAAGAAGATAGAACATTTGAAAGAAATGTTGATTGCCTTTCAAGCTATTCAGTAATATACGTGCATAGTTAGTCGTAAAATCCAGTAACTAGCCAACAAAGCCACCATCTGGACGTTTCCTTCCACTACTATACAGGGTGATTCACGGTCGATGGCGTATTAGACGTTTAAGGAGAAGTCGATGCCCGATCCATCTGCAAATTTTACAACGAAGTCATCGGATATGCTCTATCGGCCTAAAATATTTTCAACAATGCGACGTTGCCGCTTATACCAAAAAGTACATACAACTTTGTTATTTTAAATGAGACACCCTGTATATTATTTCTCGCTTAGATTTTCGATTTAGACGTGACTATTTTTGCATAACGTTCTAAAACAAGTTCCGAAAAATTAAAAAAAAATTCATTATTTTTAACCAAAACATAGCACCAAGGAATCTTGTATAACAACGCGATTTCGATCTCTGGAAATTTAAAATTTTGGTACTGGGTTACGAAAACACCCTTAAGAATGTTTGATCCCGGCGTACAGCAATTTGTTCCAAATTATGCAGGATGTCTTGAAAATACTGACCTTCCGGCTAGAGATGCTCCAATTGCATTTTTTCAAATACAACACCCTGTATAATAGTTCAAATACGGGAAGACCGTTAAATTCCCGATGAAACGATATATCATGTTTCCATATTGCAAAATCTTCAACTATTATGATATTTCATGGCTATTTTGATAAATGCGTCGACATAATTGAATTTTTGCAAAAATGTCCATTTATTTCGGAAATTTGACGCTTTTGGTATAGAAACATGATATATCGTTTCACATGGGATTTAACGGTCTTCCCGTATTTAAACTAATATACAGTGTGTTCTATTTGAAAAAATGCAATTGGGCAGTTTTTATCTCTAGCTGAAAGGTCAGTATTTTCAAGACATCCTCATATATAATTTGGAGTAAATTGATGTACGCCGGGCTCAAGCCTAGGGTTTTCCTAACTCAGTACCAAAATTTTAAATTTCCAGGTATCGAAATCGCGTTGTAATACAAGATTCCTTGGCGCTTCGTTTTGAATACTTTAGATAGTTATAAGAATTGTTTTGAAACATCCAATCTAACCATGCAATAATATACAGGGTGTCCCATTTAAAATGTCAAAGTTGTATGTACTTTTCGGTAGAAGCGGTACCCTCGCATTGCTAAAAATATTTTAGGTCGATAGAGCATATCCGATGACTTCGTTGTACAAAATTGCAACCAGATCGGGAGTCGCGTTCTCCTTAAACGTCTAATACGCCATCGACCCTGCATCATCCTATATATTACACTTACAGAACGGTTACTAAAGATTTTGGGAAAATAATTAAATACTGAAAATCCTATCATAAAGAATGTCTCATTTGAAATAGTAAAAGTGTCCATAGTTGTATGTTTAATACAAAAGTCAACGCTACATTTCTAAATTGCTAAGGTACCATCAACCATAACGCACCCTGTACACATTCTTTAATTCACAACACCTTACAATAAATAATTTATAGAGAAAATATGCCTACCCTATGGACAACTTGGTAGTTTTTTGGAATACAGTGTATTGAGTACAGTATATCAGAAACAAATAAAAAGGCAGGGCCGGTTTGGTTATTATTGTGTTTTTCATTATGGTATTGTTCTGTTGATTTTTAAATTATCTATCGCTTACCTATGTATGTCTGCCACCCGTTCTTCTAATAGATAAGTAATGGTCAGACAAGTCCAATATTTCAATATCTTGAAACTTACGTATGGCACCACTTAACTTTGAAACTGGTGAGTTTTCCAGGCTTGCAAGTCGCCGTGGAAAGGAATTTCTTCGTGACGTTTCACAAGCACGAGTGGTTTGCATCCTCAGAGGTGATTCGCGCGAAAACTTAGATCGGTCCAAAATGTGTGAAACACTTACCTTAGTTTCATGAGATAGCCACCGAAGCGTACTTAGATTTACTTGCAACCTTCCCATGGAGAATATTCAAACAAAAAAACGTTTTAAAATATGAAATAGTTATTAGGGAGTTTTTAGGCCCCTTTATTTACGTACGAGTGGCGGTAACGTTAATAAACATCACGTTAAAAAGCAGAACGACGGTGTTGAGATATTTGACTTATTTCTAATATTATTAATAAAATCAGCGGCTATAATAGAATAAGAAATGTATTGTAAATTTAAATAAGACCTTTTCATTGATTAAGTTACGCTATTATTGCGTAATTACGGATTGTATGTGAAAATTGTTACGAAAATAGAGAGAGAATAGAAGTAAATAAGAGAAGTGTTGGGACATAACCCATATCAACACTTAGAATCATGGTCAACTATTCAAGAGAACATGTTAAGCCTTTTTCCATACCATTTCTGGTATTCGGAGACATTGAACAAGCCGCGAAATATGTTGCTTCTGAATCCTAAAATTGATGAGGCAATCTCTGGGCTCAATATTTTCAAAATTAAAAATAGCTCTTCGGTTTGCAATAACAGGTGGGTCAAAGATGTCGTGTAAAATTAAGCCTCTTATTAAATCGTGATCCACATCTCCCTGGTCATTCCGGCGCAGAAAGGCAGCTTCAATGTTTTCTTCCATATTAGCTACTTTTTGTTTAATAACAATACAAACTTAAACTAGCTTTGAAACTTCCAAACAAAACGGGATAAGAAAACAATAAAGTGAGGATTATTAAGAGTGCGACAAACGCGTTATCAAAAACTACAAAACGCACTTAACGTTATTTGCCTGAACATCTTACTTTTTTAACACTGCGCATGATCAGAATAACGTTTGGCGTCTAAGGCTAAGGCAATTTTAAGGGGCCTAAAAACTCTCTATTACATTTTGATTACGTGGGGCTAATATGAAGACGCTATAAATGTTCCTATTTTCAAGAAAACTGAAGAGCTAAACGTTTTGATCAAGATAAAATATACCTTCAACAACACAACTTCTATACGTTAATACTCTGACAATTTTGTAGTCTTTCAAACAGGTGACGTCGCTGCAGAATAAATGTTATGCTGCACATGAACTTATGTCAGCTCACCGTGTATTAACTTTATGCATGGTATATTACCGGCAATGTACGAAATCTATGCCGATTAAAAACGGAAGTTTCAAATTAATCAATAAAAGTCTACTTAGAGCACCAAACAGTAAACGTTCCTTCCTAAACAACAAAGTTCCGTTGCAAAATTAACCTGCAGTTTCGTAGCAACAAGTTTATGCACATTGTCTAGTCAACGTGAAGATTAAACATACCTAACACTCAGATTGACTAGCGCGTACGGCATTTGGGAGATCGCATAAAATACCGTAGTCAATGTGCAGATTGCCCAAAGTAGTGGCGATTCTGCAAAATGCCTGGCGGGTTTGCAGAATGCCTAGGCATTTTGCACATTACCAGATTTTGAACATTGCCTTTAATAGATACTTTTATATATATTTATATATTATTTTATTTTTATGTATATTGATATAAAACATTTCAAGGAGCAATAAAATTATGCGCTAAAGGCTTAGTAACTTTCATTGGCCAGTGATAACTTTAATAAGCTTCTAAGGTACTATAACAATTCTATTTAAGGTTGTCAATCAAATGACCAGAATAAATGAAACAAACATTCAACACACATTTGGTTTATTTATTATACAAAAGGTTGAGACCAATATTTAATTTTAGTTTCTCTATGCTTCACGTGAAGCGCATTGGGATTGCGCAGTTGAGAGTCGTGTTCAAAAATGTTAGACATAGTTCTCTCTTTAGGTCTCAATTTCACTTCTTTTGGCTTTATCATCTGCGCATGAGATGGTGTCGTGGATGAGGTTAATAGGGATTTTGAACTGAGCCCTGTGCATTCCAGAAAATGTTCATAAGTAGGTTGAGTTGAAAACCTTTTTCTTTCGCCACTCGCAAACTTGTCGAGCGAGTTTTTACTTCGCCCCAGTTCTAGCTTTTTCAACAAGTCCAGTGAACTTTGGTTTGAATTTGGTAGCTTGTTGTCTGTGGCTCGGATGTAATCTACCATTGTTACCTGGAGTTTACCGTTTAATTTCTGAGGTTGCTTTTTCTGTATATCAATAATTGTTACTGAATCTTGTTTTATCTTGGCTTGGTCCTCCCGTCTCAGTTCTTCTTCGACATCATACTCCTCAATTTCGCAGTCATCCAGCTTAAATTCTTCAAAATTTTGACTGAGTTCAAAATTTTTAAAACACGGATGTTCGGATGTTTCATCAGGAGACTTTTGTAAATGTTTATCCAAGTTTTGAAGATTATCAAAACTGGAAAACATTTTTAGAGGTTCAGGCTTCAAGCGCTCATGCTTCTTTTTAATCTCGTCTATCAGCTGGTTATTGTTGAAACCATTGATAAGGCTTGACACAGATGACCCAATTAATATTGACTTTCTTGGTTCACGGCCTGTTTTATTTTGTAAAATTTGGGTGTTATTTCTTATGTAGTTGTCTTGTGATATGTTTTCCTCTTCAGTATCTTCGGGATCATCCGGAATAATAATTTCAGATACTTGTGGAAGTTTCGGAATTTGAATATCATTTTTCTTCTTTGGAGAACGCTTTAGAGTTGATTCTGTTTTTACCGGAGCTTGCTTAGCAAGCTGAATATTAAATTTTTCTACACATTTTTTAACCAGCAGATTGGGAATATCGTCCTCGGCTTTTCTGATTATATCTCTCTCTGTTGCTGAAGATGTATTCATTTTATTTTTAATTTCTTGCGAGGTAGGACTATGAATCTCAGCTACAACGCTTATTTTTTTAACACATACCTTATTTTGCGGTAAGTTAAGTTCCGAAATTGAGCAATAGTCTGGTTCCAAATCCCCTGAGCTATTAGATTCACTTCGACGTTGTTTGTGAATAGTTTGAATTTTGCCCTTAGATACCAAATTAGGTGGTTTTGGTGGCAATGCAGGCGGAGCTCTTAGTATTTTAGTTTTTCTATTATTTTTACTACTTGCCGATGCCGACTCTTGATCTGGTGTATGTTCCATCTCAATATAATCATGATTCTCTTTTGTGTCTGGTTGTTGAACTTGGATAATCGTAGGTTTCGAACAATCGGATGAATACTCACTACTTTTGCTGAGAATTTGTTCATAATCATTACTATAGATACTTTGCGGTGTTTCATAGAAATTTGGAGTCTTCTGTATTGGTGTCTCGTAATAATCATGGCTATTGTTTTTACTGACTGGGAAACTTGTATCTTCTTTGTCGCTAAATTTAACTCGCTTATTGCTCTTGTTACTTTTTCTTTCAATATTTGGTGTTTTGGGAGGTGAATTTATATCGTTAATATTTTGAAGGAGAATCTGATTCATACATTCAAGAACGGGATTATTTCTATATACATCTCTATGATCTTCATCTTCTTGGTCACTTGCACTAGCATACCAGTTATCATTGGTATCACCGCCACTTTCAAATAATGGCATAGTCTCTGTTAATTTGTTGTCTAAATCATTGTTCTCAACTTTATTGCTGACATTCTGCTGATCAGTAGTATTTGTAATTTCTCCGTTATCCTCAAACTTTGTAACTACTGTATTGATAACAGTCTTGTCGCATTCCGAAGAAGAAACATTTGCACTAGAATCTGAGTTCCTACTGCTCAAACTGCCGGTTTTATTAAGCATGTTATCAATGTTTTCTGAAACTTCGCTGATTTTATCACTAACACTTTCGGTTGGCAAAGAGTCCAGATTATCATAGTCTGCGCTAGTGTTATCATCATTTGAATTCGGACTTTCATTATGAAGTTTTAAAATCTGAAAATATGAGCCAGCACATTTTTTGTGAGATACTTTCCGACATCCTTGAGAGCCATACCAGTGTTTGTTTCCAGTAGGTTCATAGACTTCATCGCGTGATTTAGGATAATCTCTCTCCGATGAAGCAGCGTAGTTTTCAGTACTGCTGTCTAGAGATTCTAAGTTGGACGACTGATAATCTGGTTCAGTTGCAACATATTCCGAACCACTATCGAAGCTTTCTAAATTTATAACAGGTAACGTATAATATTTATTACAGTTTCTGCAATATTGATTGTCTAGGAGTTTTTTTATATCGTTGCCTTGTTTACTTATTATATAGTCTTTTTCACTAAGTTGGTGGCTGATGAGTTTCTGCTCCTGCTTCAATCGGGCTTCAAAGATCAGTAAAGCCTTTAACACTTTCGCGAGTTGGTTGTCTCGCAGGGTTTTTTCGTTTAAGTAAAGTTGGTCCTTTTCTTGAAGCTTTCGGGTGTACTCGGACACAAGTTGGCGGCAGCGTTTTGACTGCAATTTTAGTTTTTTTTGGACGTTTTCCAGTTCTTCTCGGATCGCCATCATATCACGCTCAGTACAGGAAATCTGAAACACGAGAAAAACTTACATTAGTTTTTAATAGTATAATAATTTATTGTATTTATTGGTATTATAAAGTCTCGATTTTATTAGGAATTAGGAAAATAAATGGTTAGATGCAGAGAAACTCATAAATAGTGCAAGAAATCGCAAAATTTGCTCAAACTTATATTTAAGTAATGCGTAATTCTCTGGACTACTATCAGCCAACCGAACAGGCATGGTGTAGGAGAGGATCAGCACTACGGAACACCTACAACGATGAGAGTACTTATAGAGAAAGTTGTCAAATACATCCCCTTATGTCTGGCATTCATTGACTTCAGGAAGGCCTTCGATACAGTGGAAATATGAGCTCTAAAAAACGCTAAAATTGACCACAGATATTCAAACTTTCTAACCAACATATACCGAAATGCCATACTACAAATCCAACTGCATTAATAATCCGGCGACGTGAAAATTGAAAAAATCAGACAAGGTGACCCTGTGTCACCCAAGCTCTACACCCTAGTACTAGAAGACGCGCTCAAAACAATTGATCTCTTAAGCAGGAGCGTTAACATCAATGGAGAAAAACTCAGCTATTTAATGTTCGCGGATGACGTAATACTAATAGCCGGTAGCAGAGAAGAACTACGCACACTCACCGAATACACCTACAGAGCCACTAAACGCATAGGCCTAGAAATCCACTTGCACAAAATAAACTACATGGCATCAGATAGGGACGACGAACGATTAATCACCATAGGTGAAAACGATATAAGGAAAGTGACTACATACAATTACGTAGGTCAACCACTATCTACAGGCAAGGCCAATCAAGAACTGGAAATTCACAATAGTACACGACAAACCTGGGCAGCATGAGCTAAAATCAACGACATATTGGCAATGGACATCCCCTCCATCTGAAAATTGAATTATTTAACCAGTGTATGCTGCCAGTGACCACTTACGGATCACCAATTTGAACTTTTACGATAGCAATAGTTGATAATCTCAAAGTCACTGAGATGGCTATCGAGATAAGAATACTGGGTATATTACCGAAGGACCGGAAGACAAATGAGTGGATCAGAGAAAGAACAAGGTGCAAGGCGGCGCCACCCAGAAGTGGAATTGAGCTGAACACGTCGCAAGAAACCAAGACAAGTGGAGCGGTAGAATAATAAGATGGATGCCATGGAGTAACAGAAGAAGTGTAGGAAGACCACAATCTGAAAAGAGTGGCTGGGCTAAAGTAAGTAAAGGTACCAGATGGCTCAAGACCGAGATGGATGGCAGAAAAAGTAGGAAGGGTAGAAAACAGCTAATATAAAAAAATCAAATAAAGGTAAACATGTTCGTATATGTGCCAACAAGATGTGCAGACTTGACTTGGCACTTGCACTTAGAAATTGTTGGAAAGCTGTTGAAATTTGATTTTGATCCCCAAAATAATTGTCGGAAAAATACTTTTAGCACTATCTTAGTTACTTATAGCTAAAAACTAACATATTTATTAAAAAATATAATGCATTCAATTAGTAATACATATATCAACAGCAATATAATTGAGGTCAATAATTTTCAAATTCACAAGTCAAATTAGGCCGACTTATGGACACAAATAATTCCATGTGCAGAACTGTAATAATGGAAACTTAAGCTTGAGTGCCATTGTTGTCTTATTCACCTGCTAATAAGTATATTACACAAGCAGTTAGCAGCTCGTCACTGCTGTCAGCTGTCACAAATGTGACAGAGTCCCGTTATTAAATACAAATTTTATCCGTTTTAAGATGTGCCTATTTAGAATTATTTATTTTGCTGTTCGTAAATGTGTTTACTTTTTAATAGACAAACTATTTTATGACGATATTATTTTATGCTAGACTTATATTGGTTAGAGGCCAATACAGAGTGATTCAAAATTGGCGTCATTTTTTTTAAGGGGCGATGGAGGCTCCCTTGGGGAGTACGAGAAACATATTGAAATTTTTTTGTTGAAGATCAAATTTCAACTTTGTTATTAAGCATTATTTTGAAATTGTTCCATGTTTAATTGGAAGCATACTGGAATACTTTAGCATTCCAAAAGAAAAATTACGATCCTTGCTAAAGGAAAGCAAAAGCAAAAAAATTGTAGAAGAGAACTTTTTTAATATAAAAAATTTTCGTAATTTTAAAATTACGAAAATACACTACTAGACTATTGACTAAAGAACAATATTTCAAAAAATTAGGGAATTTTTTAAGCTTTTATACGCAGCATAGGTAAAACTGTATACTGTATCTCTAACGTTTCGCAACTTCAAGTGATTTGAATCCTCAGAGGTGGTTGAAAGCAAAAAATCATGAAGACATTATTTTCCACCATCGCCTAAAAGCCGTATCATGCATCAGAAGCAATGGCCGTGAATGCTAAACTCGTTTAATATCTAAATAGACAAAACTGAATCATTTTACTTAAGCTATTGCAGTCAACAAAACATTCCGTTGACATTTACCAGAAAAATTGCTTGCCTCCATAGAATTGCTATAAATTCAACTAAGGTCTTAAAATGTGAAAAAGCTCCTCTCCTAAATTCTCATTAATTCATCAACTTAAAAAATTAACCTACGATATAAGATCTGGAGCTTTTCTCATTTTGTTTGTTTATTTATTTTTCTGTTTATTACTCAGAGTATGTAGTATTTACTAAGGTTTCAAACAGTCAGGGCTGCTTCAATTAACATAATGGGGTCTCATTTGCATTTTTTTTCGTGTTCTCTGTGTTTCCGTTTAGCAGACGATTAAGATTTAGCGATTAAATAATACAGACTAGATTCGTACATATGATAATTTCTTGCTTGCAACATTTTACAAATCAAAGAGTACTAAAGTGTAAGGCAAAAAAATAAATATAAATCAAACATGAGAATTTACCAAAAATAACCATAGGTAAGTAAGTAGGCAGAAATAAAGCATAATAAGCTAAGTGGAGAAACCTGAGACTACAAGATTTTTACATATTATATTGAAGCTTTGAAAAATCAGAAACTATTAAAATGTGAAGCAAACAACCTAACAATTACATGTAAATGAAAGAAAAATCCGACAAATACAGATTACAGTCAGATATAGACAATTACAGATACAGTCATGCAATTAACAACTTTTGAGCTCTTGTTGTAAAAGCATCGTATTTTTGCGCCAGAAATCTGCTTTTCGGTTTTGAACCAACCATGTCAAATGTATGAGGTAATAAAAATAATAAAAATCAAGCATACACTTTTGTAGAACTTGTCCCTTTGCTTTTTCTATGAGCAGGTTACTGAAAAATATGTTTCAAACTATAGACCTCAACTAAAATATGCTTTCTCAAAGCTCGTGCTTTTAAAAAATGGTTGCCTTTAGAAGGCACTTATTTTCACACATTTTAAGAAAACAATTAAAACATGCGGTTAAAAAAAACATACATAACAGTTAAACATACCTAAATAAATGAAACCCCCTTTTAGTCAATGAAAAACAAAATGAAACCATTTTCACATTTGAATCGCATCACTTATCGTTGAAATACATATATTCTAGGCATATTGTGAGTAGCTGACTTATTTTGAAATGCTTGCATTTATTATGGTGAACGTATAAGCCGTAACTTCCTGCAAAAACAATAATCCTGACCTCCTAATCCTAACCTTTATTTCAAAATAAGTCTGTACACATCTTCCTATGCTCAATCAATTGAACATTGAACTCGTCATGTATGGACATGATCTCACCGTAACACACGAAATGTTGAAATCACGTTCAGCTCGAAAAAGACTATTAATTAACAAGTGTTGCGTGATGCCAACTAATTGTTTGTTTCAAATTGGTTTCCAATTTTTAATAGCATTTAGGACCATTTTACATTAAATGATATAGCAGCTGGGATATAGAAAACCATATTTTTTACATTTTTTTCATCACCCCCCACTGCAGTAACATGGTCAATAGCGAGGCAATGTACTGTGTATTAATATGTATTAATTGCAAAAAAATCTAAAAATGTAGTAGGTAATAGCAAACAACTAGTAACATGAGCAAAGTGAGAACATTCCGCTACAGATCGTTTGAGAAATGTTTAAGTATGTAGGTCAATTACTTGATAAATGTTTCCACGCTTAAACACTTAAGGAATTTAAATCTAAATACTGATTTTACTGTATTCTGGCCATCAATATTGCATTCACAAATCCGAACCAAATCATTCAAAACAACATTTTTTATACCGGATAAACGTCGTTTTTGAGGTGGAAAATTTTTAGGTAAGTAATGGTAGGTAAGTGAATATATTTATCAAAAGAAATCTCACTGAAGCGCTTAAAACTTTCGATACTTTGGTTCTACCTACATTTTAAATTGAGGTCGGCGTTTATCTTGATGGAAAGTAGTCTGTCTTCATATTATTATTTACAGGCTAAACTCTCGTAAAATTCCTTAGTGAAGGCACGACTCATTAAACAATTTTCGCTTATCTACTTAACTGTTAATTCCAACAATAAACTTTTATATGTTTTAAAGCGGCTTCTTTTGTTGAACTTAAAATATGAACGGGTAATTTTTAAATTATTGTCTGAAAAATTAAGAGAAACACCGTTTACATGGTCTCATTCTAAATAAAATACATTTATTTAGAAGCTAAACTACCCGTACCAACCCTCTAACCACCAACTCTACATTAGTTACTACTTTGTTGCTTTTTGTTCAGAGGTTTTCGAATGATCGCGTTTCAAAGTTGTATAGACAATTAAACATACGTGCATTCAGATATTGGTTTTCAGGTTAGTGTTTACACAAAAACAATTGTATTGGGTCTCCTTGTAATACAAATGCTTAGAAGAGTAGGTAACACTGTTAAAATCGATAAATAACAGAAAGAAAACCTAGTTTAAACATTGATTTCTTATTTTTGATTTTGATCTTATTTCGTATTTATTGATTATTTTACATCGACAAAAAAAATAACTTCTTATTTGCGGAAGCAAAATTT